GCATAGGAACGATTTTTGTAAACATGTGCAGGTTTTAATATGAAAATTAGCTAAATGAGGGGAATACTAAACTTTTTTGAAATCTGCTTGCATTTTCTATGCTTCATTCCACATGACAGAAAGTTCCAGGTACACCCAGCAGAAGGCATATTGAAAAGGATTGTTCCCTTAATAATGTTAGACAAGTAAGATAACAGCATTACTGTCAGTGTGAATTCAAATTTCCAGATGAATTTACATCAGCCATCCCCTGCCATGCATGCATTTGCTGCCAAGAAGTACTTGCACAACAGAGCTTCCTGGCAGAATTATATGCAGGGTTTTAGTCCTTTAATCTAGGAGAGATGCATGCCACATGTCCTGCCAGTCAGCAAAGAAAAGAAAATGTGATTTAACCAGCAAGTCACATCTAACTAACACAGATCCTCTAAAAACCATTTACAATCAAATGTGAATGCTAATGAGCATAAACATATTTTGTGATGAGAAAGGGATATATTTTGCACAGTAAATTATCATTGTTGAAGGCTTCAGTCCTACATCTTTTGCTAATTCAATGATAATTAATTTGTGACCAAGGTTATTAAACACATTTCCTTTTGTCCTTTGCTGCTAGTTTCAAGAACTATGAATTTTTACTTCTCTCCCTAGTCAGTTTTTCTGTTGGCCAAGCCCCCTAGTTCTTCTCTCTTATTTACAAGCTCAGTAAGTACAGTCATCAATAAAAACGCTACAGACTGATAAGCAGTAAAAGAAGAGGACCCAAATGTTTAGAAAGATTTTTTGTCCAAAGCAAACATATCTTCTTTTAAACTTCTAATTTATCAAATACTTATTATCACAAAAAGCAAGAGAGTACAAGAAAAGTTTCTCCATGAATTCCAATGACCCCAGCAGACTTTCACCATAATGCCAGAACCAGTCCTTTCAGCACATAAAGTTCTTTCAAGTATCATGGATATGCCTCTATAATTTCAGGGAGCAAGGAATGTCCTTTCCAAAATGTACAGTTCTTTGGCTTTAAAAGAGATCTTATTGAACAGTAAATTTTTGAAAGCAGAATTTTCTAGAATATTTTTATGTGTTTCCCAGAGTGAAAAATCTTCCCATGTTACCTAAATGTTGGAGATCAATTATTTCAAAGACAACCCTTCCTTCTGCTTCTGTAGATTGCCTGCAGTACTAATTTGTATAAGTGATATAAGTTACAATCTATATTACTGTATATACACTAATATATCTAAACCTCAAAATGCATTAAGGTTTTACCAGAAGGACAGAGAGAAAATCTTGCCAAGGAACCTCTGAATTCCTGTTATTACAAAATGGATAACAAGTGTTAGGAAATGTTGCAAGGAGAGAATGACCAAGAAGATTCCAGAGTTTGGCACAATGAAAGAATTTACTTTACTGCTGCTTAGACATATTAAATAAGACATTTTTTCCACAGCAAATTTAAGGACTCCTAGAAATATGAGGTTTGACAAGTTCTGGAGAATCTGAAAATAAAGGAATTTGTCACCAAGAGAACAAGGCAATGTAACATTGTCCTGACTTGGAATAGATTAATAATGGAAAGAGCAGACAGAAGCCCAGAAACCAAAGTACTGCTTGTTGCACAGCAAAGGCACAATGCCGTCAGAAGGGAGGCAAGGCATTTTCTGTCCCCAGATTTGCCTAACCATGACATTGAGGGAATGGACTGCATGACAGCTTAACCCTCTCTAGGCTTGTTTCATGCTTCATTCTGTTGCTCTTACAGAGAGCCTAAATGATGATACCATTGCTTTCAAAATGAGCCTCTTGTGTGCAGCACAGACACGACTGTTCTACACTGTCTTTGGGAGCACTGTGCCAATTCACTTCAGCCAGCAATGGCTTTGAGCTCTCAACTTCAGTAGCCTTGTACCCCACTAGCCACAACATACCACAACTGCCCATCTAGATGGAAGATGATAACTAGATGTTGCTCAAAACTAAAAACACGCTGTCCCTGACTTTGGAAAGAAATGCATATTTGCCTTAATGCCATTACATCTAAATTCATCATCTGATTGTTATACTCATCTTTGCTTTCCTTCTTTTAAGAGAAAGTTCCCTTGGATGAGTGCACTTGCAAAGGTGTCAAGAGCCTTCCCTTCCTCGTTAATAGCCTTTTTCTTCCCCTTTTTTCTCCATTTTCCTCTGTGTTTTGTTTCAGTTTGTTGATACTTTTATATCTGCTTAAAATCCAGGAGTGCAAGTTGTAATTCTGCTCATGACTGAGCAGTGACTCTTTGCAAGCTTGCACAAAAAGGAGTTTTAAAATTTTATTTCTTTTTAAATAAGGTACAATACAGAAAACCCACTGCTCCCAAGCCACTCTAACACCCAGATTAATAATAGAAGTCATGAGCCTCAGGCTCCTTACCAGTTAGAAATAAAACTGGTAGGGAAGTAACTGGAAGGGAATGCTAGAACAATGAACAGTATCTATTGTTTCTTCTCCTTAGCATATGACTACCTATGAATTTCATTCAAAGGAAACCTTACCAGTTAGAAATAAAACTGGTAGGGAAGTAACTGGAAGGGAATGCTGGAACAATGAACAGTATCTATTGTTTCTTGTCCTTAGCATATGCTACTGTCAAAAAAATAGAATTCATTATAGGTAATAAAAGTTGTCATTCTTGAAAGAAGAAACAGTGCAAAGGGAAAAAAGGTGCTGTGAAGAAAACAGTAGCAGTATGCTATCAAAGAAGACAAATACTGTCAACCTGCGCTTTATCAAGGATCTTTTCTTTCCGTGGTCCTAGTCTCTTTTACTGATAAGAATTAAAATGTCATTTTAAGTCCTAGAAATATCTTCTATTATGCTAGACTGCCTTCATGTTTGGAGTATTTGCTAAGTGGACAAAGAAAATTTCAGAGTACAGCATACACTGCTCCAGCAGTGAGAGCTACTTGATTGTGATAACAGCAGTCCAACAGAAGGAAAAACCCAAATGACATGAACTATTTAAAATTAGATAGAACAAAACCCTACAAACTTACTGTATGCAGCAGCAGGATGACAGCTTAGAAAAGAATGCTGTAAGATCTGAGAGCTGAGTAGTTAATATGCATAAGAACATCATCTTTCTAAAATATCAAGCTGCTTATGATATCTGAGATAAGGTACTGCCACTGGACAACTGATGTCTTAATCTGATTATGAAGCTACAGCTGCTAATTTATGACTGGCTTTGAGTGAAGAACATATGATTTTTTGTTTAAATTAAAATTTCCTCTTAGGAGTGCTATTTATTGCTGCTGATGCCAACCATAATCTTTCTTATATCTGCTTGCATACAGCTCAAATGGTTGCAGTTTAACCTGGACAGAAACACAAATATTGTGGTCTCAAATATAATTGAAAAGGCAGACACAAATCGTAGAAATAATTCTTCATTTCAGATGAAAAGATGGGACTGTAAGTCAGTCACGAGAAGACTCCTGTCATACAAAAAAGGGTTCTCAGTAGGTCATAGATGCTCCTGCTGTCCTAAGAGGAGAATATGACAGACAAAACTAATCTCATATACTGAAAGACAATAATTATCCAAATGGTTATTAATGAGCTCCATTTTAGGAAACCTCTGGGGTCTACCTAAAAAGGGAACTTTTTCTCAGAGATCTGTGCACATGCATGCTGCATGAACATTGTTTAATATTAAAGCACAGGCCCTGCTTATCAACAGATGGCTGTAGAATATGCAGCATTTCAAAATGAGTGTTATTGTGCACAGTGAGGATACTTTTTTTAAAAACTGTGATGCAGGACTTTTTTGTCAATCTCTTAACATGCTGCATACATCACTATACATCTTTAGCAACAGCAACATTTCAGTAGTAGCAATTTCTCTACTTGAACGAAGAAGACAGAAGCTGAAAAAACAGGACAAACAAGTGAACAGAAGAACTAAAATAAACAAAACATATGGTTATGAGTCACTGTAAATTCTTTAATCTGTGTTGACAAAGATTATGGTGACTGAATACTATGAGTGCATGAAACTCATGGCAATAGACCTGTATAGCAATTTACAATAGATAATCTAAAATTTAAACTTCTATAAAAATGATGCCATTTACTAGATTTGCAAGTTAAGGTTTTGCAGGCAGAACTGTCTGTCTCACACAAATAGACTCTGAATCCCAGCACCCAAGTAGCTGCATACACCATATATCATGCTCTTTTCTGGGCACCAACGCTGGAAGATTATTGAGACCCTTTAATAAATATGCTACAAAACTGATTTAATGGGCAGCTTTAATTTGCTCTGATCAAGAAAGAAATTTAGTGTCTAATTTTCACTGCGAAGAATGACTGAGCATGGCCAGTACAAATGTACTTCTCTGCTATGAGAAAAGGAATTTCTAAAATAGCACTTTCAATTATCATAACAAGGAATGAACTCATGATGCCAATTAGAATTTGATGGTTCCCTAGAGATTTTGACTTTCTTTTGAAAAGTTTCATTTTGTTAACCAGTTAATCTATGCTGTAAGACCTCGTGCAGATCCACAGGTTTTTTTTGTATTATAGTAAGAAAGAGTTTAATCTACACCCTGGATTGTGTATTTGGTAAAAATCAATTTTAGTGTCAATTATTGAATTCCATGGGGGATGCCTGTAGCCTCTAGAGCTATTAGCTCAAGGCTTATAAAAATTAAATATATATAAGGTAAGCAGTCTTAAAAAGCAATATCCCAAATCTCTCTGCATTAACATTTTGGATATCACTACACATCGTAGGGGTTTTTGTGATTAAACTTATTTCCTGCTTTCAGCTGTCCCAATTGCTGTTACTCCCTACAGTCTATAATCAACAAAAACATCAAATGTGAGCAAAATGTCAGTTGGTAATTCTGACAATCTCCACACAAACGTGACCTGTGCTATTAACACCAGCTTTGCCATGTCATGGCACATCACATGTGAAATGGGACTGGAAAAGGTATCAAGGCAAATCTGTTACCTGGCTGATGGGTTTTTGCTTTTCCACCAGTGACTGATGAAATCGTAGATCCAGAAGATGAGGCTTCCATTTTTATTGACCCTCTGGCTTGTGGGATCCGGGGATGCCCATCCACAGGGGGATGCTGTGACACTGGGTAGCTTGCTGCAGTTCTCCTCTGACAGACTTGCACACACTTTTCAGCCCCATGAATAGATAAATTTATACCTGACAGGAATAAGAATTACAAGAGATCAATATGGAATAACTAAAATATAAATTGTCAGGGTTCAAAATGGAGCTGCAAGAACCTTCTTAAAGAAAAAACAAAAAAAGCAAAGCAAAAAGAGAACTCTAAAAGATTAACTTTCTTGGAAAATTAAAAATTTGAACACATTTTCTTCTGCATTGTAGGCATCAGATTCAGCTACAGTAATAGATATTTAAATTAATATACAGTCATGGTTTATCAATTTACTGGTCTGCAGGAAGAAATATCTTCCATTCCTTCAAAATATCCACACAGCTCTCAAAGGACAGTATTAATGAGGTAGCTACCGCAGAGTTTATTAAATGACAGTTTTCTGATTGATGGATTAGAATTTGTCGGAAATTATTTCTTTTCTTCTGAGCCTTACCAATACTAGGAAGTCTCATCACATGGAAAAGATGTTACAAGTGAGGTATTAGCTAGCTTTTAAGGAAAAAATAAAGGTCTGTTTTGAGGAAAGCAGTAAAGCTACATATGACAATAGTAAGACTTTAAGCTTGGAAAAAATTCCACTGTTTCCTGTCTTGTGAAACCTTATCATCAGTTCTGGAAATTGTCTTTCACACCAAAATTCTCAAATTTATCACATAATAATTTTTTTACACTGAAGTTGTGATTAAAAACCAGGCTTTAATTTTCCAAAGAGAAAAGCAAATCTGAAATTTCCTATGTGGCTAATGTCTTAGAAAGAAGTGTGATCTTACAGTAAATTGCTGATTCTGACTTCCTCCTGTTCACATTGATGCAATTGCTCCAAACCCACTTGAATTTTTTTCAGTATACTCTGGTTGAAAACCTCCAATCTCTTTTGGGCAAGAAGGCTGAATTATAGTTCTACATTATTGTTTTATGCTTAATTTACTTGTGACTCTTATTGCTTCTGTCAGCAAACTATCTTTGGTTTTAAAAAAACCAAATGAAACACACTAACAAGACATAAATAAGCAAACTAAAAAGCAGATGGAAAAGCAGACTCTAAAAACTGAAATCGTGGACATTGTAAGCACATTGTAAAGTGCAGTCACTCAAAATTGATTAGATATCATTGATTTGATTGCTCAGTTTTGTGAACTGAATTGTCCAAGAATGCGTTAATGACTCTACTCTTCTATCTCCCCTGGAAGTCAATGTATGTGAATCTCCGGGTCATGGAAGAGGTTTAGAATCTCTGAAATATTAATACACTTTGATCCATAATATACTACCAAGTGGAAGAGAGCTACCACTTCCGTAGGCAATTGGTGAAAACAGTGGGGTTGCACAGAGGAGCAAAGGCTGTGCAAACTGCTTTCTTTTATGAAGGCTTTGTGCATGCAGAATCAAAGCTGTGCACTCAATACTTGTCTTTGCTTCTTGACTCCAGAGCTGATCTCCTGCAGGAAATGTGAAGGCATGAGGAGTTTCCTGCAGCAACTGCTCACCTACTTCCTGATTTTAGGGCTAATGTAACTGCCAGCTTCTAAAGACTTGAAATCACATCCTCAGGATACAGAGCAAATCCCAGACACCTTATTCTTGTGAAAGGAACCATATAAATCCATGTGAACAGAATGACAATGAGCTTGCCTGGACAACATGTTTCTTTGACCATGCCAGCTGTAATGGGCTTCAAAGGATGAGAAGCTAAGCTCCAGCTGTAAAATGAGCTCTTTACTTGTTTTGCAGTCACTAGAACATTGTGATGTTCAAAATATTGAGCAGTTACCCCTAAGGTATTACCAAATCAACTACAACCATTTTCTTTAAACATCACCACAGGTTGCTGCATCATTTAAAACCATCATCCCTCTGAAGCTTATGGTGGAGTCAGTCAATGTTCAGCACTAAACTTGAGCCTTGAGCTTTCTAGCTGGATCTCAGTAAGGCTGTGCTTTCATTTGGTCATGAAAATAGAGATCTATTTTAGGAACTGGTTCCAAACATAAACTGACTGCTACATTACTCGGAGGTTCAAGTTAAGTTGCTTCTTCACATTCTGAAAATGGTCTATAAACTCTTGTGCAGCTGTGACTGAGGTTCCTAAACTATTTCTGCAGCACGTGGGTTTTTTTCAGACATCAAAATAAAGGATACTGCTGCCAGATTGCTGTTCCTAAGAACTGCAAATTTGCAGATTGATCACATCCAAAATTAGGTTCCATCAACAACTTGATGCTGGTTATATGCAACCTTTTGCATTTTCCACTAAAGAAAGATGATAAATCCTACCTCCAAACTACATGAGGAAGGATGTTCCAGCATCACTGAAAACTTTACATTTACAACTTTCTTTAGACATATTTAAAAGTGCCCAAAACCAACCACACAAAGATACAAAGAGTATCACAAATGTAAAAAGTATATTTGGAAGTTTTTCACTCCAATCTCATTGATATTGTAGTTATTTTTTCATGGAATATATACTTTATTATCTCCTTAATAGGATAATTAATTTGCATAATTTTCCTGAGAATGAGGTACAGGACAAAGATGCAAGTGTCCTTATTTAATAATTTAATAATTTATAAAATATAATAATTTAATAACTTCAGATTTTTTCCAGATAAAGACCAGGTCTTTCTTTACTATGTTCATTTCTTTTGTTAAACTACAAGTCTAAAAAAATGTAAGACAGTAACACTGCCGCAAGCTGCAGCATTACCTTGTTTTCATGTGAGCAAAGGTTCTTTTAAGAGATATTGGCAGTCAAAAATACATCCCCAGATAACAGGCAGAAAAGCACAGACAGGGAGGGGGAATCAGAAGTAGAAAAGAGATTGGGAACAATGCATGTAGCTAAAGGCACATGAGAACCTGGTGAATTATTGACACTAAGCAGACTCTAAAGAAAACTCTCCCTATTTTTCCTGCAAATAACCCATGCTGCTGATGAATCCCAGGGTTTGTGGATCAGAGATGTGAGAAAACAGCAGATAAGTCTCTGAAAAGTGGATGTTAAACTTGACATCAATTACTTTGTTGCAGCATGACAATACCCACACAAGACATTCAGAAAGAAAGAAGTTCTCCAGCAGCACACTGCAGTCTGGGTCTTCAACTAACTGTATCTGGTGGAGTTTTTCTCCTGTCTTTAGGCTTGGCCATATAGCTGCTGACACCAAAATCCCTTTACTATTGCATGCCTGGCTGTATGGCATTTGGTTGTACCTGTCCCTGCAGCAAGGTGATTTTTAAGTGAGCTTGGCATTTATGCTCAGTAGCAGGGTGCAATCACACTGGTATGCTCTGACAAGTAGTACAGATGTTCAAAAGATCAGGGGTTTCTCCTGCCTTATCCTCTGGCTTAACGTAATGCTCATAAACACCACTTTGAGCCAGGGCTTCAGTGCAAATGCAAGTGAAAGACATAATTACTGACACAGCTGACTTTTCAGTTTGGAGGACTGGCTCCTGGACAGGGCTCAGCCACCTGCACTTGGCTGCAGTAACATTGGGAAGTAGTTTAGTGTTTTGAAGCTGGATGAGATTTGAGCCTCTAAGTATGATACATAGCACTCAGCTCTTTTCCTTTCCTACGTGCATCAAAAATCCTTCTCTGTATTTTCAAATCTCCATGTGCCTTTCTCTTCCTTATCTGTATTTCTATCTCTTTTTTTTTTTCTCATACAAGCTTTTTGTCTCCTTGAGGAGCCACTCTTCTTACTGACCTTTTGTTCTCCCTTGGCTCTGAGCTTGCAGGTTCATATAAGACAAACACCTTCACTACCTTCCTGCCAATACGTCTCAGCTGTGCAGTTTGCCAGCAGAGAAGAGCAGCTTCTATCCTGCTTCTGGATAAATTTTATTGCTCCACGATAAGTCTTTTTATTATAGAATTTTTCAAACCATCAATTCTTCCACATTGAGCATATTTTGTCTCTTATAAAGTGGTAATATGCTTATGACGCTTAGGGATTTATAATGCTCCAGATAAAACCTGCATATGAGAACATTAAAAAGGAGTAATGAAGTACTTCCAAGTCGTGAAGCAATAAAATCAAGCATAAAAAAGAAAAAGGAGGGAGAAATTATTAACATTTGAAACACTACTGTGTGCCTGCATGCAAAGTTTTTTGTGACTATTTGTTTTGTTGGCTCATCTGATGCTACAAAGATGAACAACAACATCCTGCACTACTCGGAAATCACTCTGCCCATGCATCTGATGGACATCTGCTTTGGCTGTGCACCATGCACCTCTGCTGGGCTGTACACTATGCACCTCTGCTGGGCTGTGCACCATGCACCTCTGCTAGGCTGTGCACCATGTACCTCTGCTGTGTGACTGAGCACAGTGACATGGCTCTGGTGCCAATGGAGAAGACTCTTGCACTTGAATTTGGGTCAGAAAGGCATGTGTCCAAATTACACTGTGCAGGGACTGAGACACCTCTCCACCTGGGAAGGCATCCTCACAGTGACTGTCAGGCTTGTGTCAGCCCCAGTTTTCTTCCATCTTGTACCACTTTGGGTCACAGGCATTTATGTATAAGTTCCTTTCTGAAGTGTTGGTCTCTAGACAAAGATTATATGAACATGAATAGGCAATAAGACAGTGCAGAGTTACAAAGTTGTACAAACAATCCATTAGCTAACAGTGTTTGATTAGCCTCAAGTGTCCTGACCTGCTTTGTAAATTTTTCCTGGGATAACAGTAGTTCTGGCAGGTGCAGGAAGTCCTTTCAGTTTTGTATCATTAGTGTCAGTGCTCCTGTTGAAGACCAATTACTCCATTTATTTCTCTTTTCTTTGTGTGTCTTTTATTTTGTTTCAGCCCTGTGCAGAGGGCCTTAGGAGCAGATTGAAGTAGGCCCTTTTTTCAAGGCACTTTTCACAGCAGACCAAGTACAGGGGAGCACAAAGAAGTGAGGAAGAAAATCTCAGCTACTCTATCACACATGGCTACAAAAAGTAAAGCAGCTCTGAAAAGTCTGCAGTCATCAAGGCAGAGATAAGCAAGACCATAAGGAAACGCTTT